CCCCAAAACCCCAAAACCCCAAAACCCCTAGCATCAAGAATTATTGGAAATTAGAAAAGAAGATACTTTATATAACAAATCTCGGCATATAAAAATATTATATAATTTCATCACTTTGACATTGTTTTCTAAATTATTGCAAATCCTACTGTTATTAGTGAGGTATAAATAGTATTCATAAGTCCATATGTAGCTTTTAGACCTAATAATTTTAATGGCTGATGTTCACCTTCTATTTCTAATCTTTCTAATACTGCATCCATTTCTAAAATTAGATCATCCAATATTGAAGATATTTCCTCTTAAGTTTTAAACTATTTAAAAAGTACAAGCTTCTTTTGAAATAATTTCATATAAGGCCCAGAATAAACTTGACCACTTAGGACTTAGACAATATTCAATTTACAATAGAGAAGAGTCTATTTTAACTTGATCAATTACAATCTATCATTTATAAACTGCTGATTCACAATAGCTCCACAAAATAGCATCAATAAAACAATCGTTAATACGTATATAATATCGAATAATCCAACTAATTAGGCGTAAAGTGAAAGTTAAAGATCCAAAATATCGAAAAACTTCAAGAGCAAGACAATAACAAAAAATAGATTGGCTCCAAAAAATGTGGAGCAATATACAAAAATTCTGTCCTTGTATTTTCTCCCAAAATCCATAACACAGAGTCTCAGCATAAACCAAGAATGTAAAGATCTTTTGCATGTAAAATTTATAGCTGGGAATACTTAATACTTGATTGGAGTTTCACTTTTAAATGGATTAATTAAAGCACTACAGGCTCTAATCATTTAAACCCTTCTATAAAAATCTATGAAGCCAGACATTATGAATATGTAATTAGGAGTTAAGATTACAAAAAGAAGTATAACTTCGCATATTTAAAATGCTATACTATCCCAAGTATTTAACCCCAAAAAGCTTCCTTTTTCAATGTATCTAACTATAAATGGAATAAAAAGCTTTGCAAATGTGCAGCAGAAAATGATTGGTAGTGTGAAAGGAGTGTTCGCTCCTGAAAACATAGCTATTTCTTTCAATACTAGTCTACCTCTAAATCACTCCCATTTTACATCTTGATTCTCATTATCAAATTTGTAATAATTATGAACTGTAAACATATCATAGTCATTTACTTGTGGGTCAAATTTGTGCAAAGTTCTCTATTTATTCCTCAGCATGTCTTGTTATTTTTAAAGCAAGTCTTTATACTTTTTCATTGTAAAAATTGCTTTATTTTTCTCATAGTAATCATCATCTGTTAGCCTTTCCCTAGTATCATTGTCTTAAATTTTTTCGAAAAACATGAAATAGAAATCTTTATCTTCAACTTAATTTCTCCAAAAAGCTGATTCAATTTCTAGGTCAATACTGGTTGGATTAATCACAAACCAGTTAAGCACAAGTAGATCTTTATTAACGAATTCTACTTTTTATTTTCCTGATTTCATTAGATCAAATCTTACTTAAGAGCTATATCCATACCTCACAGCTATAATAAAGCATCTGACAATAATTTAAACAGAGACAAAGATGAACTGCTCTGTGTAGATATTTTTCAGTTCAGTTTTTATAGGAAAGATTTCAAACCGTTAGTTTAAAAATAGTAGCAGCAATATCAGATTAAGGGAATTTTAAATAAGCTAGTTGACAAAGCCAACTATGAAACCTTTTGTAAACCAAAATTACATGTTACTTACCAATTGCATGCCTTCAAAGAGGGTTATTATAGGAACAGAGAATAAACCAAGATACCAAAATAGCAGATGATAGACATATATTCTTATGAATCTACCCACATTGAATTTTACAATGAATTCACTTATATCGATAACTTTGGATACTAATGCACCACCTATTATTTTAGCAAGTGGGTTGATTCTAGGAGTTTTTTTCTTCAACAATTTAAAATTAGACCTTTTCATCTTTGGAGAGTTCTCCCAATCTTCTAAAGAAGTTTTTCCAGCATTGAGTTCAATTTTAGTTTCATTGCTAGGAGATAAGATTTTTTACTCTGCTGAGCTTAATCTGAAATCTGATAGATCATTTAGACCCTCTATATCGGTTTTTCCTTGGCATTTATAGTCAACCTCATTATCTTCAATTATTTCAGATTTCTTTACTAAATCATTATCTTATTGCAGTTCGGATTTGCGTGCGCTGTTGAAGAGGCTTAGCCTTGCGTGAATTTAGGAGTTGTAGTTTTTATTATTTGATTGGAATTCCTGCTCTTTAAAGTCAATATCTTCATTGATCTCTGGGCCATTAATTTATAATTTGAAGTTATTTTCGCTTGTTTTGTTCATCATTACACTTTGCACATTTGAACTATTCCCCACTGTTTCAACTCTTGATCTCTTATAATATTTTTTCCTTGCTTATGACATTTTCATTGAATTTCAATTTTATGACTTAATAATAATGAAGCTGGACTAAATGCAGCATTAGGGGTTTTGGGGTTTTGGGGTTTTGGGGTTTTGGGT